ACATGGTTGAACACTGTTGACACTTTATTGTAATATGATGTTCGTGTAAGGCCTTCCACATGGTCGGACACTGTTGACACTTTATTGTAATATGATGTTCCCGTAAGGCCTTCCACATGGCAGAACACTGTTGACACTGTATTGTATGATGTACGTGTGAGGCCTTCCACATGGTCGGACACTGTTGACACTTTATTGTAATATGATGTACGTGTAAGGCCTTCAACGTGTCGGACACTGTTGACACTGTATTGTATGTCGTACGTGTGAGACCTTCCACATGGTCGGACACTGTTGACACTGTATTGTATGATGTACGTGTAAGGCCTTCAACGTGTCCAACACTGCTGACACTGTATTGTATGATGTACGTGTTAGGCCTTCCACATGGTCGGTCACTGGTGACACTGTATTGTATGATGTACGTGTAAGGCCTTCAACTTGTCGAACACTGTTGACACTGTATTGTATGATGTACGTGTAAGGCCTTCCACATGGTTGAACACTGTTGACACTGTATTGTATGATGTACGTGTGAGGCCTTCAACATGGTCGGACACTGTTGACACTGTATTGTGTGATGTACGTGTAAGGCCTTCCACATGGTCGGATACTGTTGACACTGTATTGTATGATGTACGTGTGAGGCCTTCTACATGGTCCAACACTGTTGACACTGTATTGAGTGATTCACGAGTGAGGCTCTCAAATGGACCAACACTGTTGACATTGTATTGTGCAATGCACATATAAGGCCTTTGACTTGGACCAACACTGCAGACATTGTATTGAGAGACATACAGCCTTTAACACTTACCAACACCATTGACAATTTATTGAGAGATATACGGCCTTTGACACCTACCAACACTGTTGACAACAAAAACCAACAGCCACTGTGTATATGTGTTTGCGTTAATTAAGTCGGCATTCTCCTCTGACAAAATCTAACCTGCACCTCAGCCACGTTGAGCAATTTGAAACCTTATCTTGGGAAATTGGAGGGAAATGTTATCGCTCTTACTGTGACAAATGTTGATTGCTACTGGCTGAATAAACACGTCTCTTTACACCGCGGGGAAGTCTCCAGTGAAATCGAACCCCGTCAATGATTGATTTTTATTTCAGTGCCCTTTGTTGGGTAGACTGGTAAAACGGTCGTTTGTCGACTTACCTGTAAGCCTGATTGTGTGACTGTGCATTGTGAAACCTGCACATACGTTACAACTGGACAGGTAGAAGGCACTTGGTCGGATACAGGTAATTCCGCCTGGTCAAGTGCAGGACGTTACTCCTCAGCCTGGGGAAATATATAGCATCGGACCTCGTTAGGTGGTCGACATCATACCTGAACATTTGGTGATGTCTTGTACATCATACCTGGTCATGTAATTGACAACACACCTGAACATCACGACCCTCGAGTACAGGGCACTACACCTGGTCACACTCAGGATATCGGATGAAATACCGGACATCAACCCAATAGTGTATCAACATAAAACCTGGTCAGGTGCAGGGCACCACACCTGGAAATGAGAATGGACATCTAACCTGAACATGTGATCGTCATCTGGTCAGCTGCAGAACATCACACCTGGTTCAGCTGTAGAACATCACACCTGGTCAACTGTAGAACATGACACCTGGTCAGCTATAGAACGTCACACCTTGTCACCTGTATGAAACACATATGGACATTACGGTATGTGTAAGATCGCTAATGGCTCCTCCATGTCGACAAGAAATGTCTAATTAATCCGACTAGTCTACTCTTAAATTCTGACACTAAATGCTGTAAATTTACATCTCGTCTAAAAATAGTTTGAAGATCTGCATAAACAATTCTTTCGGACTATTTGGAATTATTATTGTCTATAGCAGCTGTACGAGGATCCCAGTCATCATGTTTTACATCGGGTAGTTCGGGTTGGCTTTAGTTCTGGAATCTAAAGAGTGTGATATCATATATAACGTCTACCTACGAGGACTGTTGTCCTGTCATTGTACAGCTGTTTGCTTGTCTAACGAGAGTCTTCAGATATCACAATCACTCGACAAAGAGTGGACATGCCAACGACGTTGTCGTAAATCACCCAGAACATTGAAGCGTTATGAATGGACTCCGTCGTTTAGTCGGGTACGGCAGTAGGGTCTTTCGCCATTCTCTCTGTGCCCAGCATCACCGTGTGAGGCAAGTAGATAGGTGGGAAGATCGGTAGGTAGATACATAGGCAGGTAGGAGAGTAGGCAGGTAGATATATAGGCAGGTAGAGAGATGTGCAGGTAGATAGATAGACAGGTAGGAGGATAAACAGGTAGGAGAGTAGGCAGGTAGATAGACAGGTAGGTAGGTAGAGATATAGACAGGTAGACTAGTAGGCAGGAGGGCACATGTGAGCGAGGAGGCAGTCAAACAGGTAAGATGCAGACAGACAGACAAACAGGTATACACGTAGGCGATAAGACAGACATATAGACATGTTGAAAGGGAGAAATGTAGGCAGGTAGACGGGAAGGCAGACAGACAGGCAAACAGGTAGACACGAAGGCAAACAGGTAGATACGTCGATAGGTAGATATCTATGGCTAGTTCTATGAGTAAGATCATGGTTAGTGTTTGGATTCCACGGACTTCACGTGTGATACACAGTCGTGAATGCATTTGTAACCACGTGATGTATGGTATATGATGTGCATATGGTTTGAGTAGATTGATGGCCACCTAATCACATCTGGCATGTGCATGCCTATGAGATGTATGTAAGTTAATCAGTATATTACGTGCATATTAATGAGCTTGTGAAGTGTATATGTGTGTAAATGCTCGATGTGTGCGTTGTGAGTATATGTATGTTGACATATACTCTGTAGCACCATGTAGTGGATAGATCATCTGTGCAGATGTGCTTAATTGTCATATCAAAATTAGGTTTTGTACACACAAATACTCATAACCAAAAGTTTGGGGCTTCAGCAAACTCAAGTCGTATATGGCGACATTGGGGTCGGGTTCGCTTACACGGTTGATGCACGTCATGGTATTCTCCTGGCTTAGTCGATACTTGTGTTGCCGATCACTGGATATTCAGGTACACACTCGATTACAGACCATTCCTCATATAGCTGAGATATTGCTGACGCCCCAAACAAACAAAGCTTGTAAATACTGTTTGTTGTGCTTCACAGTAACAATTTGTAACCTGCTGATAAACGTAAATCTGGCAATAAACCAAGAAGACATACATTTCTGACTGACTGACTGAGTATGGTTTTACGCCGCTTTTAGCAATATTCCAGCAACATCACGGCGGGGGACACCAGAAATGGGCTTCACACATTGTACCCATGTGGGGATTCGAACCCGGGTCTTCGGCGCGACGAGCCAACGCTTTAACCACTAGGCTACCCCACCGCCCCTACATGTAGTTGTGAAGACAGATTGAAGGAAAAATAGTAAAAATTAAATGAATGCATAGTGATGCAACAAACATCCATGTGGGAGTGTCTAATAAACTAAAGAAATTCCGAGAATATTGGGGAGGAGGAGTTCATTAATGTGTTCCATCACATGCTTAAATAGAGTTTTGCTTTCGGTTTTGCAAAACTGTTATGCTTGAATTCTTCAATATGCGTGGTAAAATTGTAAATATTCGTTGAAACAGCATTCAATTCTTCATCCCTAAAATATTTTCGTTAGTTTGATAATGTAAAGGGTGAATTAAAAACATATTATTTCGAAAGCCTTATAAATATTTGGCGCTTTATATCTATCGTATCATCGTATGCCATTAATCATAAACTCGGGTTTTTAACCTATTCTTAATTTCCCTGTCATCCACCACCGAGGTAGCTTATTTTAACATGAACATGGAACACTTTTCACATATGCTAGTTCTCAGCAGCGTGTTCTTTAGATGCCTTTTTCTGATACGCCGCCACATCGTCCCACGGTAACAAGTCATGACGTCATGTCAGCTGACAGAGTTCATTAGTCACGCTGCACTATGGTATGAATCCTGAAAATTTTATCACGACTTAATAGGCGGAAAGTAGGTTAACTATGACGTGTATCTGATCAGATCCCATAATCACTGCATCGTGTAAGCGGTATTTAGGCGTGGTAGCCACGATGTTTAGGTTAAAGGAATTACTACCACTATGTATGAATAATGGGTCGATCGGACACGTAAGTGTGAGAAGTCACAGTTAACCAGAGTAGCAGAGTCATGTTTGCTTGTAGAACCCAACACCTCTTGGGTTTTTTTTATTTCTCAATGTATGAAAAAATTCAAAACTTCGTAGAGAGTTTTCCAAATGGGAATCCTTCAATTATATATTATATATCTTTAATCAGGAAGTATTTAAATGTAATTACTGTCCTTCTTCTTCTTCTTTTTTTTCTTCTTCCTTGTGTTTTGTATTAGGGGAATTCATTGATTTCATTGAAGGTTGACTACGAACCGCCCGAAATATTCCTTTCTACTGTCTACTTTCCTACACTCTGTCACTGAATTCATTGGAGAATTTGAAGCTTGATTCTGTCAAGAAACTGTCAACAATACAAAATAATGAAAATGCAGTCTCTGAAATCAGTTTCCTACTATTTAGACTTTTAGTAGTATTACATCAGAAATGAGACGAGAGAATATCTTCATTTTCTGAAACTGAAAAGAAACCTAGACTTGCCAAAGTTTGGAGACTTGCTACGAGTTTCCATTGCTTGTTTCAGGGTCTTCTTGAGAGACTATCAAATATAGTCGCAATCGCCTATAGTCATACCAGATATAATACCATTTTAATCATATATAATAATGTAATTATAGAAAAAGAGATGATCCAAATATGACTCACGTTCATTGCATTAATTTATTTGGATTAAACATTCTTTCATTTCAGAATTCCATGGTGTTGAGGGGGATATAACTAAAGAGCTACTGGTTTCACTTTTCACTGTCCTTCAGCTTTTCAATCCGTCAGTGGTGTCTTTGTGCTAGACAATGGAGCAGGTGGCGCCAAAGAGGAAGCCGAACCCGAAACGTCTTGAGAAGACTCTGTTCGTGAACCACAAGGCGGAACAGGCGCTGGAGAAGAGACTTGAGTCTATCTCACTCACCTCCAGACTCCGGATGATGGAGTTGGACAGAGAGAGGATCACCTTGAAGAACGAATACCGCCTCAGCAGGCGCCGTAACGTCTCCTGCTCAAAACCAAGGTCACGGTCACCGTCACCCTTTGTTGCCTCGAGACCGTCACGGCATCAGCCACTTGATCCTGTCAATGCGTATCTGCTGACGGAGTACCGCCGGGTGTCCGAAGTCATTCCCTCTATACTGATGTCCCTGTCCGCTAAAGAAGAGCAGAAACAAGAGTTCGTTGCCATGACGACAACGGAACCGAACAGGACACAAGCGGGTGGTGTTGATGAGCCTGACATGTCAAAAATTCAAAAGTTGATACGGAACGTGAAGAAGATGCGTCAGGACATGAACGTGAGTAAAAGACTGGACAGCAACCGTTGTAAGGTTAATTTTAAAGATTTGATGAAAAACATTGAAGAGAGGGAACAAAGAGGCAGCCCGTCGGACACCTACACTGACGGCGCGTGCTCATTGCTGAGACGGAAGATGAACAAGATGAGACGCGAGGGGCAGGATATGGATAGAAGACAAGGTCAAAGGCCTCAAGGTCAACAAAGACAATCGACGGCATTTATAAATCCCACGGATGATAATGCTCAAAGAAAGAGACACTCCTGTAATTCTTCCTACGGTCAGCGACACACCCATGCAGTCCCAGGGGTTGGCCATGACCAGAAGTGTGACGACGCTGGGCATGCCGGGAAGACAGAAGACATCACTTCCGGCCTACTCGAAGAGTCAGTTGGCTGAGGAGGACGAGTTCATCACGAGGACCAAGGTATCAAGGGAGCTGGAGAACTATGACAAGATCAGGGGGAGGATTGGCACGTTCATGGATACAATGAGTCAATCACGGCTACCTCCCCTTGAGCAAGATGAACTTACAGATTAAATAAGATATTGTGTTATAAACAACACAATTCAAACCGGTTCGAAAATATCTCACAACCTTAAAACGACAAATGTCATCTCCACCAAACGATGGGAAAACTTTAAAGGGTTCTACACGTTGTGTGTGTAATAGTTAAACAATATGCAAAGGGACCAAGCAATGGTTTCAGGGGGCCAAGTTTTGTACTGAACGAGTTATATAACATCAGCCAGTACATTGAGGTGACCTGGAGACAAACTGTTTCTTAAGAATAGCACATCTCTCCTTCGCCAGAAGATGATTCCTGTCATTAGATAGATCCTACAGTAAGGCAAGCTATTTCCAGGAGATATTTCAGGGGTAAACAGAACCTGTATTTTATCGCAGAGAAAGCTGGTAAAAATATACTGTCCTCAGTTTTACAACGACGACAATATACGTGATGGACCTATATTTAGTGATCGCCCCTCATAACAAATGTTTGTTGGGGCTAGCTCCCAGTAGGGGTGCTTCTCACAGGGCCTCGTCTCTTTGCGAGGATTAAAGATTAACATATATTAAAAAAACTTCTTGAGATGACCCCCGACTCGAAATGCTTCACAGTACCATGTGGTTTATTGTACTGTGAAGCATTTAGAGTCGGGGGTCATCTCATTTTTTTATGTATAATTTTTAAAATCTTTAATCAAGAATGAGGACTATTTTTATGGATATACAACTTCTTTATTCTATATAGGCGACGTTTCGACATAGATTCTAATGTCGTTGTCAAGCAAGATTCTAATGTCGTTGTCAAGCAAGTGTCCTTCTACAATGCCAATCAAAGAAATCTTTAATCCTCGCAGAGATACGAGGGCCTGTGGTGGTTCTATGCATGCCTGGACATAGGTCTCAATGATTGTGTGGATATTTGTTGAACAATCACTGGAGATTAATGGAAGACTCCCTTTTCTAATATCACCGTAGTGCTAAGATCACGGTGACCGAACTGTTTTGTATTGTATATATCTACGTTATGTGCGTGTAATTACACATTAATCAGTATTAAGCCTGAAGTTCTATCACGGGTAATCTGGAGTAGCTCTACACAAGGACACGTTATCTGGTGTCCTACTTACTGGCGACAGTAGAATCTAGGTATGAACAGCTGCAGAATCTTCTGTGTGTTCGTGGGTGAAAATATAACTAAAATAAACGCCAGATATCCTGTTTCACTGCACAGTAAGTGTTTCAGAGGATACAAACGTATATGATGTTAATATCTCTGTATCGGAACCAGTGACGTGTGTTTTTGTTCTGGAGGCTATTGAACTTATAACATGGAGCGTCGAAACAGAATCTCTGTAATTTTGTCAATGTTTTGTTCAAGCTGGTGAGCACACTTATGGGTCTTGTTGATATAAGATGACTCTGGAATTCACATCTGGATCTTGGAGGGATGCAATTCTGCACAATGCCTCTTTTGGTCTCACTATATCCTAATATAGATTTGTGCTCATGCTGCCAAACAAAGGAATGTCTGCTCCAAGCTCGAACTTCCATGTGCAGCCATTGTTTGAACCCTTAGTTTCACATTTACTCATGTACCAGGGAACACAGGTTAGATCGTCTGAGTGATATAACGCGCTGTGCATAGTTGCGTCCCTTTGGCTTCCTAGGATCCAGAAAAGTCATTTGATCATTTGTTTATCAGCCCCACATTGGATCATGGAAGTTGTAAATGTCAACGTCCTATGTACAACTCTTCAGGTCTTCCTTCATCTGCCTAGCCGGCATACACCTGGAAAACTGTAAAAAGCCTCTAAATAATTCAATATGCTGCAATATTAGAGACGGTCGTACAAATACACCAAAACATGTCTATATATTGCTTCATAAACATGACATGCATTTTGGTTTTGCTTTTTGTACGAATAGGAAGTGGCTATACAGAAAGCACGTTATACAGGGAAAGAGTAGAGCATCAGGAGGGTGTTATCGTAAGCCCCATATCCCCACACTCTTCTGCTACCTAGCAGTGCCCTAGCAGCCTCTCTCAGTCAATGGGGACACCTCACCAAACCACCCTCGTGCCAGGCAATACTAGAGGAGCAATGCTTCATAAGCATTAAGATATCATAGTTTCAGGACGTTTACCTTCCTACAATCCAATTATAATTACCTTCTGTGCTTAACTAAGAAAGTGTAATCCCAATTATAACATATGTTAAATCCAATTATAGCTGTATTGCTATGTTATCGACGTTTAGTTTGCGTCTGAGAGATATATAAGTCCCAAAGGGTAAAATGGTTTGTTACCTGTAACTGTAGATATGTTTTAGCTCTATTTGCGCTCAGTGATACTATTGGCAAACAAGGAGTTGAATATTGAATCTGGTTGTAGTTAACTATTAAGTTGTCCACACAATCAACTATACGTGCCCCTTTGTTCCATACAGTACAGATACCTTATCGTAGGTTGGATTTAACAGTTTAAGAGTATGTAGCAAGTGCTTGCGATTAAAGACAAACACTAAACACGTTCACAGTCTATTGATGATCACATGATGACTGAACACCCTCGTCTGTTTGATGTGTTTCTGTGTACTGTTTAACGCCACTCTCGGGAATATTTCTGGAACAGTGGAACCCCGCTTATCTGGACCCAAGATATCCGAAAACCTTACTAAACTGAAACAACGCGATATCAGAATATATTATTCCTGAAAATAATGGCTTCAGATATTTATTACATCACAGTTTCATGAAGCTGGTTATTATTAATATTTTATGAGTATTTAGAAGAGATAGTTTGAGAGAAAACGTGTGTTTTGAGAAGTTTACGAGGAAATACAAACGGTAATTATAACCTCAACTCATGAAGCAATACCTAGCAGAGCTGAAGGAAATACAGTTGTAGTAAATATTCATGCCCAGTGGTGTATATCGCAAATATTATATTTAAATTGACCACGTTTGTTATCACCAACCCTTTCAAGTGAATTCGCCAAAGTGATACGTTGTATTTGGTAACGAAGAATCCCATGTCAGAATGCTTAAATAATCTTATGCATTCGATAACAAGAATTTGGGAAGGGAAGGTCACTGACAAGTGATTTAGATGTATGAAATCACTTTATTTGCACAATATTGGAGAAAACGTTACTTGATAATGTTCTACTGTAAATGATGATGTCGTGTACATTCGAGTCTGGACTGGCTAAACCGGTGATTTATGTCATGCGCCACGCCCTACGCAGTATGATATGATGTAATCAGCCCAATCACCGACCCTCTGGGAAAAAAACGTGGGAAAAACAATATACAGAGACTTCAAGTATTATAAGTGCAGTGCTGGAGATTTTACGTCACTTCCTTTAGTCTACACACTTGAAAAGATACAGTTTTAATTCCGACCCTCTCGGGGAACATTTGTATGCAGTAATTCGTATAATTGAAAAACCATATTGCGTCAATATAACCAAATGATACAAAAGAAACACACTGAAATTAGTTATATTGTACAGGTCCTGAATAATGTACAACTTCCGTGAGTGGTCCTCCACAACCAAGCCGTGGTCCTCCACAATCCAAGCCGTGTGTCTGACTGAGTTTGGTTTTAGCCAGTTCCAACAACATCTCCAGAAATGGGCTTTATATCATGCTTTGACGAAACGCTTTAACCATTAGGGCACCGCCCGTGTGCGTAATCAGGTCGAGTCACCCGGTGTATATAATGTCTTACCATAACTGATATATTATACGTTAATATTTACTAAATGCAATTGTAATTACAAGGCCAGCAACACATTTCTTCCTATTTTCATGTTTTTCATAATTTTGTTATTGTTTTTCGTTTCGTTTCGTTTTGTTTGTTTGTTTTTAATTGATAATTAAATAAGCAGTTCTGAAGTTTTTGTTGTGGTCCAACTGGCTTGCATGTATTTACACAAATGTACGCTAGTTTACATTATCTGCACTCCGGTTTTGCTTCTATGCCTCCATAAACCAAAAATATGATGAAGTCAGATCGAAGTACAGGCCATGGTATTAATATGAGACGTGACACGTTACCCAAATACAGCCAAACTCCCTTGTCTCGAACTCCTGGGAGCCAGTGAAATCGTTCGACTGCTCCCGGGTACGATTCGATGTCAGTACGATGATCCAGATCTCAATGATTCCAGTACATTTGCATGCATTTCTGTTGTTCCGATCTCAGTTCACGCCAACTGGTTTATACTGACATGCTTCTACAGCTAAATACTGTAGTGGTATTAAATACCGTAGTTACAACAACAAATATTGATTCCAGTATGTATGTTGCATAAATCCACCGGCAGAAAGCGGTGACTGCATCATGCCATGGGGGAACAAATTCCTCATCCGCCATGAGCTTCTTCACGTATTCTAATGTCTGGCCCAATAATGGACACAAGAAACACTCCACTGAGGCAGTTTCAGGTACATAATAACTACTAAATTGTATGATTGATTGTATGCATGTCTACAGAATCTGCCTCTTGAGTGTATGCATGTCTACAGAATCTGCCTCTTGAGTGTATGCATGTCTACAGAATCTGCCTCTTGAGTGTATGCATGTCTACAGAATCTGCCTCTTGAGTGTATGCATGTCTACAGAATCTGCTTCTCATGTCTACAGATCTGTGAGTGTATGCATGTCTACAGAATCTGCCTCTTACAGAGTGTATGCATGCATGTGCCTCTTGAAGTGTATGCATGTCTACAGAAACTGCTGCCTCTGCATGTCTACAGAATGCATGTCTACAGAAACTGCTTCTTGAGAATACAGAGAATCTGCCTCTTGAGTGTATGCATGTCTACAGAATCTGCCTCTTGAGTGTATGCATGTCTACAGAATCTGCCTCTTGAGTGTATGCATGTCTACAGAATCTGCCTCTATCCCGTAATGGATGGTTTATTGAAAAGATCTTGAATATTATAATTCCTCGCGTAAGTAATGGAATCATTTCAATTCCTTTACTGATTCTATTATTGGACGGTCAGGGTTCGATTCCCAC